GTTAAAATACACCTTTCCAAAAATTAATTTAATTATTCTACTTTGTATATTTCTATTTATTCTGATTTCTTCAATTTCCTGTAATTATCCTATTTCTGTGCAAATATCTGGAGATTGGACAAAACTTCGGGAATTTCAATGGCTCGTTCCTGTAAAATCAGCGAACCGTTTTAAATGCTTTGTTTTTAGTGAAAGCATGGAAAAATATAAGGGAAAATTATTTACTGCAAATAAAGAAAATGACATGACATTCTCTTTTATGATACCTTCTAACGAAAAGGACATGTTAAAAAGAATTTGGCAAATTGAATGTATAGTTTGTATGCCTGTATTTATTCAAACGTTAATAAAGAATTTGGAGTTTCAAGTCAGTAAATTAGTTTGTTTAAATTTTATCATGATAAAATTCAGGGTTAATTCGGGGTAAAAAATAAATAATTCACTCATTTAATCCCTAACACTGGGACTTTTTTATTTTGTGGATATCTACAATTTATGGTTACTGCTAGGGGACTAGCCAAACAAGTGAATTATATTACTATCATTTAAGAGCATCAGACGTTTCTTTATAATTAATGAATTGGAGTTAAACAAGCCCATCAACGTTTCTTTTCAAAACAGAACTGCCAAATATGCAAACATTGCTGACAAACTAAAAAACGATCGTCCCAATTACCAACATTTGAATGATCAGCAATACGAGCATAAAACATTGCGAATAATTTCTCACTATGAAAAATATATAAAGGACGAAGAAAAACAGTTTTGGAGGGAATACTAGAGTTGTACCCCGACCCCGTACCCCGAACCCCGACCCCGTTCCCGAACGATTTTTTCACGATTCTCCCCGACCCGAACCCCGCCCCGAAAAAAAGTGAAAACCCCGTTCCCCGGCCCAAAAAGTTTCGGGGTTACGGGGTTTTATACCCCTAAAAAATGTCATTTTTTGGAGAAATTAATGAAGAAAATTTAAAAAATTTCCACACATTTTACTTTGCTTTTATTATTTTTGAAAGAAAAATGAATGAAATATCATAATTTTCTTTCCTTCTTTATTAAGAGACTTGTGGTTGAGTGGCTTAGTCATTGGTTTTAGCCGATATTTCATTAATATAGGATTGGGTTCGGATCCATATAAGGATAACTCTGTTGTTTTTATATTTTTTTACAAAAACAAATTATTAACGAGTTAAATTTTAATTTGAAAATATTAATTTTATTTTTAACTGATATCCCTTGAACCACCCTTAATCCTTCAAACCCTCTGTATATCCAGTTCTCAACCATAACAGTTGGTAAACTATCGAGGTCATGTTAACGGGAATCAGAGATATAAAGGGATTTGTAGGATATCGAAGAATTAAGGAGTTTTAAAGGGATATAAGGTTTAGATTAAAATGGATTTGAAAGGATTACGTGAATTTAACGGAATTAACAAGGATTTCGTGGGAGATTTAAGGAATAATCGAAGATATCTCCTGATATCCGTCCAAATACCCTTATCCGCAATACATCAATATTCTTATAAATCACTAATATCCCTTGAACCAACAAAAATCACTCCAGATCACCTTGTATCCCTAGATATACCATTTAATCCCTAAAAATCCCACTTAATCCCTCCAGATCCACTTATATCCCAAGTTATACGCTTTAATCCCTTCAAATCCCCTCTAATTTCTTCAAAACCTACTTAATTTTTGAATAAATCAACGAAAATATATCGATTTCTAAATATTTTTGAGCATTTTTTTCTCTAAAAATTTTTCCACTAAACCCCCGTACCCCGACCCGAACCCCGGCCATATTTTGCTCCCCCGACCCGAACCCCGCCCCGAAACAATTGGAAAACCCCGTACCCCGACATACCCGCCCCCGAACGTTCGGGGTACAACCCTAGGGAATACAAATATGCACTTATATATTTACAAATGTATAATATTGCGCTAATAAAGGACGTTCTTTCAATAAATCTTAACGAAATGGATCGCAAATATAATGAATTTTTGTTGAATAAATTTTATGATAAGATGATTGAAATTGCTTCAGAGTTAAAAAATTATGGTGAGAAAGATAAAAGAATTATAAAATATTAAAATTTCTGTGTCAGCATGATATTTTTCCTTACAAATTATTAAATAGTTTCTATGCACTAACTAGTAATTTTTAATAATAATATTTTTCCATATAGAAAAATCAAATCAACAAAAACAAGAAAAATTGCCTTTGAGCATGGTATATTATGCTATGACATTTCTAAAAGACAAATTACAACCACCTATCGCGAATAAGACTCCAATAGCTACAAAATTACCAATGGAGGACAATACAACATTTCAAAGTATCCTACAAACTGGATCCTACAGTAAAATTTAAAAAAGTATACACCGTGTTTTTAAGTATTTTCTTATATAAATTCAAAATAAAAATTTAAATTTAAAGGCCAATCGCCAAGTAATTTTCTAAACATCAACCCTGAGATTATAACACAGCAAGTCCAAAAGGATATTCAAATCCAAACAAATATAAATTCTAAATATAATATGAATCAGCCATTGAATTTTAAAGGGAAAGAAGCTGTGAGATTTCAACCTATTGTTAGACCAGGTAAAAGTAAAACAATCAAGAATAGTAATTTTTAATTGGCAAATTTTCAGCAATGCCTCAACTTACAACCATACCACAAATAACGATTAATCAGCCACATTCTTTCGTTCACCAGACATTGATTTCTCAAATTAGACCACAGACTTCGGTCCATCAAACAACATCCCTTCCGTATATACACCATACAATTCCCCAAATTAGATCGCAATCATCAATTCCACAGATTAGACCACAAGCAACATTTCATCAGACAACGGTTCAGAATAGACCACAAACATCGTTTCAACAGACCGTCACTCACGCTAGGCCACAATCAACGATTCCCCAGATTCGATCACAGACTACGGTTCCTCCATCTTTACAACATACGATTCCTATAATTCCACAAGTACATCAGACTAGACCACTGGCTTCTGTCCACCAGACACCGATTCCTCAAATCAGATCGCAAATACCTTACCACCAGACAACAGTTCCTCCATCCACACACCATACGGTTCCTACAATTACAGCAAATCCTCAGATTAGACTGACTTATTTAAAAAACGACATGCTTGATACAAACAATATTGCTAGCTATATGTCAGAAGCAATAAATGCGTTCACTACCAATCCATCTGAATTTAATCGCCTGATTACTATGCATCAATTGAATGAATACCATAAAAAATTAAACGAGCAATATAAAAAGCTTGACCATTTAAAAGATTTAAAGGTTCTTAACAAGCCAGAGAAAGAATTGTTATCACTCTTGGAACGACAAATATCAAATCTAGTCAAGGGAATAGATCATTTAAATATTTTATTTAGATTATTTGCACGAGATAACAAGACATTGGAAGATATTCAATTCTTATTTGGAAAGATTTTAACTGAATATAGAACAGTTAAAGATAAAATAATAAATTTCATAAACCAAAATAATGAACAAATCAAGCAGAAAATGAGTCAAAGTAGCTCATCAATTTTAGGTTTGAAGCTATAGTATATAAGGGCCTAACTTTGTCTGAGTCATCGATGTTGATTTACCTAGAAGCATCTAAACCGTTTCGTCGGATTAAACAATCTAAAGGGGAGGTAAGCATAAGCAAAGGATCCCCCCAAGTAGATTTTTTGTTAAAAATGTCAAACTTTTGCTAAACTCTTATTATGTTCTTTATGTTCGAAAAGCTGAATCAAAGCTCCTTTCGTTAATTCAAACAAAATCTTAGCTTTGCAGCAGAGGGCCCTCCCACATTTTTAAAATCGCAAGGCGGAAAACGGAAGAAAATATAAAACATAAGAAGGTAGCAGGAATGGACAAAAAGGCGGAGTAATGCGGAAGATGGAAGCGGAAGAGATCCTTTCCCTGATCTGCAGTATATCAAATTGTACCCAATTTTAGGTCAACAAAACACCAATACAGAACAAGATAGAAATAACAATTTAGATTTATATCAACAATTGCTTCTAATGAAAGATAAAAGTGTTCAACAAGAATTTGGACAAAATTTGCCAACAGGTATTAATCACAAAAATTATTACGCCTGTTTGTTAACGATCAATTTATTTAACAAAACAAAATATTGGACAACAATTAAAAGAAAAACAAATCCAAAAAAGCATTTTAGAAACTCCTAATGTTGCAAGAAATAAACAATCTTTTACTATAATAGAGTCTAGCAAAGGAAATAGTTCTTATAACCCATTAATAGATTTGACAGAAGACGATATTGAAGAAACGAATGAACAGACAGGTTGTTTTGTTTAACTCAATGAGTTTCTTTCTAAATTGAGTCGTGCCGTTCGGACAAGAGCTGCACGAAAATATCGTTTCGTGATTGTCTTAAGGTTTAACTAAATAGCGTTTATCTTAAAATCTAATTTACTCTATAAATATTTAAGATGAACAAGCAGCTAAACCAACAGATGTGGATACTTTTACTAAAAGAAATGAGCAAATTAAACAAGATGAATTAAGAAAAATTAAAGGAAAAGCTGTCGTCAACGAAGGACAAAGTGAAAAAATGAATGAAGTTATTGTAGAAACATTAAAGTGTAATGAACAACTTGAAGATATTGATGAATTAGAACAAATGGAAATGGAACTAGCAATGGCAGCTTCTAGGGAACAATACAAAGAGGATTTGGAAAATGTAGGAAATTAAAAAATCCAATCTAATATATTTCCTGTTCGTTCTTCTGTTTAAGGGACCCTTCATTCTAAAAAACGCCATAACTCTAGGAATAGCGTTATGGCGTCATTTTTGGTCGATTTTGGAGTTCTAACGTTTGGTGTATTTTTTATAATTTGAAGGCCATAAACCCAAAAAGTAATTTCTAAAATAAGTAGAGATTCTAATAAATCCAAGCATTTTTAAGTAATATAATATAACCAATTTAAGCAATATCTAAAAATGTGCCCAAACCGCAACGAAGGGGAAGCATCAAAAGCTGGCGGGTGTATTTCTCATGATTCTAATGCTGTAAACAATCATCCAAAAAATCTTGAAGAGGAAATTAATAAAAATATACAAACTAGTAAAGCAGAAAAGTCAAAAGGAAAAGATGCTAGTCAGAAAAGGAAAATTGCAAAAAATTTGGCAAAACGAAAGTCTTCAGGTGGAAAGGTAAAATCAAAGGACCATTCATATTTAGCTATTACAAAAGCATTGAATGAAGCCAGAAAGCGCAAGAAAGAGAAGAAAGAAGAATAAAAAGATTACAGAACTAAAGAAAAATGAATCAGAATGTATTAGAATAATTTGAAAAAAAGTAAAAATTTGTTGATAAATTGTAATGTAAATGAATTAAACATTAAAAATTTTTAATCAATTATTTTAACGGATATATCAGTTAAGTTATAGCGGCTCCAAACCATTTCCAAACCATGGCTCCAAACCATTTTCCAGAAAGGCCTTAAATCGAGCTATAATGTTCTTTTTTATCTGTGTAGAATCAAGTCTCAAGTTGTTACCGAAAGATTATTTATATAATTTATTTATTATAATATTAATAAAGAAATATAATTGATAATATAACTATAAATTATAAAGGCAAATATATTCTTCTAACTATAATATGTTCTTTTTTTATCTGTGTAGAATCAAGTCTCAAGTTGTTACCGAAAGATTATTTATATAATTTATTTATTATAATATTAATAAAGAAATATAATTGATAATATAACTATAAATTATAAAGGCAAATATATTCTTCTAACTATAATATGTTCTTTTTTTATCTGTGTAGAATCAAGTCTCAAGTTGTTACCGAAAGATTATTTATATAATTTATTTATTATAATATTAATAAAGAAATATAATTGATAATATAACTATAAATTATAAAGGCAAATATATTCTTCTAACTATAATATGTTCTTTTTTTATCTGTGTAGAATCAAGTCTCAAGCTGTTACCGAAAGATTATTTATATAATTTATTTATTATAATATTAATAAAGAAATATAATTGATAATATAACTTTAAATTATAAAGGCAAATATATTCTTCTAACTATAATATGTTCTTTTTTTATCTGTGTAAAATCAAGTCTCAAGCTGTTACCGAAAGATTATTTATATAATTTATTTATTATAATATTAATAAAGAAATATAATTGATAATATAACTATAAATTATAAAGGCTATATTCTTCTAACTATAATGTTATTTTTTTATCTATGTAGAATCAAGTCTCAAGTTGTGCGTTAATTCTTATCAGAAATCGAAGTACATTTATATTTACTTCGAATATATTCTAAAAATAAAAGAATAAACTAATATACGACCTAGTGAAATGCGTTAATTCTTATCAGAAATCGAAGTACATTTATATTTACTTCGAATATATTCTAAAAATAAAAGAATAAACTAATATACGACCTAGTGAAATGCGTTAATTCTTATCAGAAATCGAAGTACATTTATATTTACTTCGAATATATTCTAAAAATAAAAGAATAAACTAATATACGTCCTAGTGAAATGCGTTAATTCTTATCAGAAATCGAAGTACATTTATATTTACTTCGAAAATATTCTAAAAATAAAAGAATAAACTAATATACGACCTAGTGAAATGCGTTAACTCTTATCAGAAATCGAAGTACATTTATATTTACTTCGAATATATTCTAAAAATAAAAGAATAAACTAATATACGACCTTGTAAAATGCGTTAATTCTTATCAGAAATCGAAGTACATTTATATTTACTTCGAATATATTCTAAAAATAAAAGAATAAACTAATATACGACCTAGTGAAATGCGTTAATTCTTATCAGAAACCGAATTACATTTATATTTACTTCGAATATATTCTAAAAATAAAAGAATAAACTAATATACGACCTAGTGAAATGCGTTAATTCTTATCAGAAATCGAAGTACATTTATATTTACTTCGTATATATTCTAAAAATAAAAGAATAAACTAATATACGACCTAGTGAAATGCGTTAATTCTTATCAGAAATCGAAGTACATTTATATTTACTTCGAATATATTCTAAAAATAAAAGAATAAACTAATATACGACCTAGTAAATGCGTTAATTCTTATCAGAAACGAATTACATTTATATTTACTTCGAATATATTCTAAAAATAAAAGAATAAACTAATATACGACCTAGTGAAATGCGTTAATTCTTATCAGAAATCGAAGTACATTTATATTTACTTCGTATATATTCTAAAAATAAAAGAATAAACTAATATACGACCTAGTGAAATGCGTTAATTCTTATCAGAAATCGAAGTACATTTATATTTACTTCGAATATATTCTAAAAATAAAAGAATAAACTAATATACGACCTAGTGAAATGCGTTAATTCTTATCAGAAATCGAAGTACATTTATATTTACTTCGAATATATTTTAAAAATAAAAGAATAAACTAATATACGACCTAGTGAAATACGTTAAGTCTTATCAGAAATCAAAGTACATTTATATTTACTTCGAATATATTCTAAAAATAAAAGAATAAACTAATATACGACCTGGTGAAATGCGTTAAGTCTTATCAAAAATCGAAGTACATTTATATTTACTTCGAATATATTCTAAAAATAAAAGAATAAACTAATATACGACCTGGTGAAATGCGTTAAGTCTTATCAAAAATCGAAGTACATTTATATTTACTTCGAATATATTCTAAAAATAAAAGAATAAACTAATATACGACCTAGTAAATGCGTTAATTCTTATCAGAAACGAATTACATTTATATTTACTTCGAATATATTCTAAAAATAAAAGAATAAACTAATATACGACCTAGTGAAATGCGTTAATTCTTATCAGAAATCGAAGTACATTTATATTTACTTCGTATATATTCTAAAAATAAAAGAATAAACTAATATACGACCTAGTGAAATGCGTTAATTCTTATCAGAAATCGAAGTACATTTATATTTACTTCGAATATATTCTAAAAATAAAAGAATAAACTAATATACGACCTAGTGAAATGCGTTAATTCTTATCAGAAATCGAAGTACATTTATATTTACTTCGAATATATTCTAAAAATAAAAGAATAAACTAATATACGACCTAGTGAAATACGTTAAGTCTTATCAGAAATCAAAGTACATTTATATTTACTTCGAATATATTCTAAAAATAAAAGAATAAACTAATATACGACCTGGTGAAATGCGTTAAGTCTTATCAAAAATCGAAGTACATTTATATTTACTTCGAATATATTCTAAAAATAAAAGAATAAACTAATATACGACCTGGTGAAATGCGTTAAGTCTTATCAAAAATCGAAGTACATTTATATTTACTTCGAATATATTCTAAAAATAAAAGAATAAACTAATATACGACCTGGTGAAATGCGTTAAGTCTTATCAAAAATCGAAGTACATTTATATTTACTTCGAATATATTCTAAAAATAAAAGAATAAACTAATATACGACCTGGTGAAATGCGTTAAGTCTTATCAAAAATCGAAGTACATTTATATTTACTTCGAATATATTCTAAAAATAAAAGAATAAACTAATATACGACCTGGTGAAATGAGTTAAGTCTTATCAAAAATCGAAGTACATTTATATTTACTTCGAATATATTCTAAAAATAAAAGAATAAACTAATATACGACCTGGTGAAATGCGTTAAGTCTTATCAGAAATCGAAGTACATTTATATTTACTTCGAATATATTCTAAAAATAAAAGAATAAACTAATATACGACCTAGTGAAATGCGTTAAGTCTTATCAGAAATCGAAGTACAGTTATATTTACTTCGAATATATTCTAAAAATAAAAGAATAAACTAATATACGACCTAGTGAAATGCGTTAAGTCTTATCAGAAATCGAAGTACATTTATATACTCTTCGAATATATTCTAAAAATAAAAGAATAAACTAATATACGACCTAGTGAAATGCGTTAAGTCTTATCAGAAATCGAAGTACATTTATATACTCTTCGAATATATTCTAAAAATAAAAGAATAAACTAATATACGACCTAGTGAAATGCGTTAGTTGTTACCAGAAATCGAAGTACAGTTATATTTACTTCGAATATATTCTAAAAATAAAAGAATAAACTAATATACGACCTGGTGAAATGCGTTAAGTCTTATCAAAAATCGAAGTACATTTATATTTACTTCGAATATATTCTAAAAATAAAAGATTAAACTAATATACGACCTGGTGAAATGCATTAAGTCTTATCAAAAATCGAAGTTCATTTATATTTACTTCGAATATATTCTAAAAATAAAAGAATAAACTAATATACGACCTAGTAAATGCGTTAATTCTTATCAGAAACGAATTACATTTATATTTACTTCGAATATATTCTAAAAATAAAAGAATAAACTAATATACGACCTAGTGAAATGCGTTAATTCTTATCAGAAATCGAAGTACATTTATATTTACTTCGTATATATTCTAAAAATAAAAGAATAAACTAATATACGACCTAGTGAAATGCGTTAATTCTTATCAGAAATCGAAGTACATTTATATTTACTTCGAATATATTCTAAAAATAAAAGAATAAACTAATATACGACCTAGTGAAATGCGTTAATTCTTATCAGAAATCGAAGTACATTTATATTTACTTCGAATATATTCTAAAAATAAAAGAATAAACTAATATACGACCTAGTGAAATACGTTAAGTCTTATCAGAAATCAAAGTACATTTATATTTACTTCGAATATATTCTAAAAATAAAAGAATAAACTAATATACGACCTGGTGAAATGCGTTAAGTCTTATCAGAAATCGAAGTACATTTATATTTACTTCGAATATATTCTAAAAATAAAAGAATAAACTAATATACGACCCAGTGAAATGCGTTAAGTCTTATCAAAAATCGAAGTACATTTATATTTACTTCGAATATATTCTAAAAATAAAAGAATAAACTAATATACGACCTGGTGAAATGAGTTAAGTCTTATCAAAAATCGAAGTACATTTATATTTACTTCGAATATATTCTAAAAATAAAAGAATAAACTAATATACGACCTGGTGAAATGCGTTAAGTCTTATCAGAAATCGAAGTACATTTATATTTACTTCGAATATATTCTAAAAATAAAAGAATAAACTAATATACGACCTAGTGAAATGCGTTAAGTCTTATCAGAAATCGAAGTACAGTTATATTTACTTCGAATATATTCTAAAAATAAAAG